TCCTCCGTAACCCCTCTAATGGTCATTGCGGCACATATCGTTTATACTCAGTTTATTCCTCTATCAATAAGCTTTAATTTGATGTATAAATTTTTCCTTCATTAGGGGCTGACGGGTTGCAGCAGTCCATTCCATTATTCAAAATAAGCTATTTCTTAATGTTCACGCGTATTTCGATATTTAGGTCCTTCGTTACTCCTCTAATATGCGTTGCGGAACATATTGACTATATACCTTTTGTTCCTCTCTTAATAAGCTTTCGAATGAGGTATACGGTATATCTATAACTAGGGGCTAAAGGGTAGCAGCAGTCCATTCCATTATTCAAAATATCCATTTCATTATTCAAAATTGGCTATTTCTTAATTTTCATGCGTATTTTGGCATTAGGGTCCTCCGTAACCCCTCTAATGGTCATTGCGGCACATATCGTTTATACTCAGTTTATTCCTCTATCAATAAGCTTTAATTTGATGTATAAATTTTCCCTTCATTAGGAGCTGACGGGTTGCAGCAGTCCATTCCATTATTCAAAATAAGCTATTTCTTAATGTTCACGCGTATTTCGATATTTAGGTCCTTCGTTACTCCTCTAATATGCGTTGCGGAACATATTGACTATATACCTTTTGTTCCTCTCTTAATAAGCTTTCGAATGAGGTATAGGATATATCTATAATTAGGAGCTAAAGGGTCGCAGCAGTCCATTCCATTATTCAAAATATCCATTTCATTATTCAAAATTGGCTATTTCTTAATTTTCACGCGTATTTTGGCATTTCGGTCCTCCGTAACCCCTCTAATGGTCATTGCGGCACATATCGTTTATACTCAGTTTATTCCTCTATCAATAAGCTTTAATTTGGTGTATAAATTTTTCCTTGATTAGGGGCTAACGGGTTGCAGCAAACCATTCCATCATTCAAAATAAGCTATTTCTTAATGTTCACGCGTATTTCGATATTTAGGTCCTTCGTTACTCCTCTAATATGCGTTGCGGAACATATTGACTATATACCTTTTGTTCCTCTCTTAATAAGCTTTCGAATGAGGTATAGGATATATCTATAATAAGGAGCTAAAGGGTCGCAGCAGTCCATTCCATTATTCAAAATATCCATTTCATTATTCAAAATTGGCTATTTCTTAATTTTCACGCGTATTTTGGCATTTGGGTCCTCCGTAACCCCTCTAATGGTCATTGCGGCACATATCATTTATACTCAGTTGATTCCTCTATCAATAAGCTTTAATTTGGTGTATAAATTTTTCCTTGATTAGGGGCTGACGGGTTGCAGCAAACCATTCCATTATTCAAAATAAGCTATTTCTTAATGTTCACGCGTATTTCGATATTTAGGTCCTTCGTTATTCCTCTAATATGCGTTGCGGAACATATTGACTATATACCTTTTGTTCCTCTCTTAATAAGCTTTCGAATGAGGTATACGGTATATCTATAACTAGGGGCTAAAGGGTCGCAGCAGTCCTTTCCATTATTCAAAATATCCATTTCATTATTCAAAATTGGCTATTTCTTAATTTTCACGCGTATTTTGGCATTAGGGTCCTCCGTTACCCCTCTAATGGTCATTGCTGAACAATCGACTTGTTATATCTATAATTAGAGGATGAAGAATAGCAAAGGTCCAATGAAAATAAAAAAAGACCACGTAGAGTATTTTAATTTATAAATATATGTTTTGGTATTCAGGTCGTCCATACATTGAACCAAGGAATTTCTGTTAAAAATAGTTAGGAAAACCCACTAGTTTATCCTCCGAAACTAGGAACCAGATAAATAAATCAAATTAGAATTTAAAGAGTGTTTTTATTTATTTTTTCTGATATCAATTTGAATATTTGTTAGATAACACCAAAACGACTAATTTAGAAATACGGGATATAGCTAAAATGTCACAGTCAATTTATTTATTTTTATTTCACTATTCACCGCTTTAACTTGAATAATGAAACATTAACTATTTCATTATTCATTATTCATCACTTAATATTGAATAGTGAATAGTGAACTATTTCATTATTCATTATTGAATTTTGAATAATGAAAAATGAATAATGGACGTACTTCAGCCTGGTGGCTTGATACTAGTAAAAAACGTAACTTCAGAACACACTGAATATCACAAGTCTGTGATAAATGCAATACACTGGGCCTAAATACCAAGATGATCAAGAAATGTTTCATAACAATAAATGAGTTCAACTTCAAATTTATCATTGCATGAAAAACAAACTTAAAAATATATAGTAATGTCATAAGCGCTACTTTCAGTTAATCGAATCCCTATGACAAAACATGTAATTTCAACATGTTCAATCAGTTCATTCTGTTTGGCAGTTTATTTTACATAAATTAACGAATGATACAAATAAAAATGACAGTTAATAATAAAATATTTTGAAAATTAAAAATATGGCGTTATTGCCAGTGCGACGGCTATCCAGCAGAGTCCAGATGACGTGCAGTAAAGCAACCATATGTCACCTAAAGGCCTTAAATAATCAGTAAAGTTAGACCAGTGCAATATTGAAAGTCATTAAAGACACTAAATGTAAAACAACTCAAACGATAAAACCACCAGCCTGATTTATTTACAAACAATCAAGAAATTAAATATGTTAGATATGATAACAATCAATGAATAACAGACTCCTTACTTGGGACAGACACATACATGTAGAAAATTTTACGATATTAGTCATGTTTGCTAGTGCTGAAACCTACCACAAACATCGGTGAGTGGGGTAAATGCACAACATAAAAACAAACTGTAAATATCAGACTGCTTGACACATATGTTATTATTTGTATATTTGTAGTTTTCAAGCTGTACGTACCTGTGTTGCAAATTGGCGTCCGTCATTGGCAAGAATTGTGTATGGTTGGCTTACTCTTTATAAAAATGACGTGTACTTATAAATTCTCTCAACTTCATAGTTGTTGCCGATGAATACTAAATAAACCCGTCTGAATTATATACATAGTTTATTCAAAAGAAAGGCGAAATATACTTAAGGGACATTCGAACTCATAAGTCGAAAATAAACTGACAACGCAATGGCAAAAAAAGAAAAAAAAAGACGAGTCACATACATATCATGCATATTAAAAGCGGGGCGAAGAAATCAAAGAGACATTTAAACTCATATAAAGTATTTTATTGGAATTGTTTCCTCTGGCAAACGGGAGATAATGCAATCTGAATCATGTTCAATCGTAAAGTATAAAGTATTTCGACAGTTTGGAAGTCTTTACAGGTAGTACGGGTTGATGTGAACAATCCTGCTCTCCATATTCCTTATATATTGTATGAAAGATGATTATTTATTATTAATTTGTTATTCTAATGTTGTATATTATGCCAGGGGATAAGGAGCCTGAAGTTATTAATCACAAGATTGATTGATTGATTGATTGCTTAACGTCCAATGGCAAATATGTCATGCATGTTCATGACTAGAACAATTAACAATATATACAATAGGCAGGTCGGTCCTTTTATATATAGGGGTCGACCGGATGAAAGGCGTGAAATTTGGACTGCCACTAGAAAATGAGGGTTTATTGGATATGGACAGAAATAGAAATTTAGCCTTGAAATTGCCCTCTCTCTCTCTCTCTCTCTCTCTCTCTCTCTCTCTCTCTCTCTCTCTTTTTGTACAAAGTCAACTTTGGAAAATTTGTCCTTTCTTGGTTCAATCCTCTTGCTTTTTAACGGTAAATCGAAAGAACAATTTCAAAATGAAACAGAAAAGTCTTTTCAGATTTTCTATCTGTCTCTTTCAAGAAACGCTTTAAATACGAGGAAATGTTCAAATTGTGGATGTGGTTTATGTTATAAAGTTATGAAGAAATGTTGAAATTCGTTCAAAAAAAAGAAAAAAATATTTATCGATTGAAACTTTTTAAAAATGGCACGTCGAAAAATGTTATTTTGCGTATAGAAACGGACGAAGGCACAGTCAAACATGTATGCACCACTCACAGAAATTAGGAAACCACGTTGTAGAGATATGAACGCCAACGTTCGACATGTGATAAAACCCTTACCCAAATTGTACGTCGGTTTGGTTGTGCTGGATGTATCAATTCGCAGCCACTTCTGCTTAGAAAGGGGGGAGTATCACAATATCTGTAAGTGAAATAAACCTAGCTTGCAACAAATCTACGAGGGTTCCGTTTGTGGTCTGTTGCAAGGCATAATATCTGTCCTTATCCAACATGCCCTAATTTCCCTGTATGTTCAAATGTTCCGCCATTTATCCTGGTAGACCTCTACCGTGAAGAATATATCTATGGTCTTGGTTGTTTTGTTTTTTTTCCGTCCTAAACATAGATGTAATATTTGATATTGAACGTTATCAAAACAACAATCAGACAGTCAATATAGAACGTATACAATTTGCCTTAAAGATAGAAATTAGTTAGTGGCAAGTATCACAGCATAGGCCAATTTTAATACACCTTGGTAATATTGACAGCCTATACATGTAGAGCAGTTTCTTTAATCTGATATTTCAACAGAATCTCTGGTCTCTCTATTTGATAATGCATTCTTGTTATATCTATTATATATAAATGTGTTGGCATCAGATGTTCTTCTACTTCAAAGTATTATGAATCAAACATTGCTCACTACCACTTCATTTTAACTTTAGATCCGGTGGATAGTTGTCTCATTACCACATCTCCTCATGTCGTATGGATACTTAAAATCATAGCACTCATTCTTAAATCAAGTACGTATAACTAACATATACGTCGTTGCTTGAATGCACTTACAATATGTCTCTCTACTAAATCAAAAATAATGTCGAATTTCCAATTGTATAGTACTCAATAGTATTCATTGCAAGTATAATCAGAACATTATGTTTATTTTTGCATAGATTTGAATTTGTAGTCAACCACATATTAAATGTAGAACATGCTTAAAGAACAGAAACCACCTAAGATAAGACAACAGAACATCATGTTAATTGGTTCATTGATGAAAACAAAGACTTTGCTCTCATCATATTTTAATAGAGACAAAAATAAATTAACAATTTGAAGTTACATTAATTTTGATAATTTTATAAGCACATAAGTGCATATAAAGTTTCAAAAATCTGCATTACAATCAATAGTTGACCCATCATATTATATTTTCATTTAGGGCTATATATATTATCAGACTAGTAAAGTAATTTTTACTTTTCAAAAATAAGAATAAACATACATTATTTTAGATTTCAATAACATTGGATAATTCATCATTTTATTTATTTCATTTGTGCATAGCTGTTTTAAAAGACTTCCTAATCCCGTAAATATCACTTGTATAAAAACACAATATCTTATATTAAAAATACAGAATTATAACAGAATAAAACATACTAAATTTATGAATTTCCGATCTCATTCAAAAGTTATGGTAAAAGATTAGTATTGTCACAGTAATCAAGTCTCATTTACCATAACTTTAAAAAATTTAAATTAAATCATCTATTATATATTTTTTTAAATACTTTCTTTGATGTTGTAGCCTTCAACACAGAACAGGAGGGAACACTAAGTTTAGAGTTTCATGACAGTTTTGGCATTTCCATCTTTCAAGGAGAAAATCTTTACAATTGACAGTATAACGAAACTGTTAGACATAGAGTCTTATCTTTAAATTACATTGCAAATATCAATTTTTTCAACAAATAAAAAAGTGTATATTGCTGCTCCTAGTTTGAAACTTTTATCCTAGACGATCACCGCCGACCATGTTCATTGTATTTTCTTAATAGTTTCAATATTGAACCAAGACAACTATTAATACCTTTCCAGCAGATATTTGATCATTTGAGTAGTATCTGACTAAGCAAACAATAAACTTCAACAAGTCAGCACAATGTTTTGAGTAGTTTTTGAATATCAGGTCTAACATTGACGCCATGAAATTTCCATTCCAACGCACTAAAATCTGCTACCTCTATTAATTCTTTCTGATAATCCTTGTGGTCTTCTGTTTCTTTCGTTCTGAAAACAAAATGTTATAAATCAATTAATTTTTTTTACAGTGCTGTATGTGAGAACTGCAAAGACAACAACCATTATTTGATTAGTCTAGATATTGACTGATCAGTTGCTGTTTGTTTTACGTCCAGTAGCAATTATTTCATTAATATTAAAGAACGAATTAGCAATGAATCAATAGGTAGAATCTGTAGAGAGGGTTGATTCGGATTAAAGGCAGGAATGACGACTTTCACTGGAATATGAGGGTACGTTGGATAAGAGCAGACATTTTACATTTCAAAAAAGCACCTAAGTCGCTAAGGACTCCTAAACAAGTTGTGGGGAAGGGTGCTTTAGCGTACAGAGAGCGTTGCACACCATTCCATACGCAAGCCAACGGCTACAGCGTACGCATTCCGGTTGGACGTGGCTCCTTACGTATACGTCCTCCACAGCCAAACAGGCGGCACTTGCTGGGGAGTAATACCCCACTGACGGAGAAGACCAAATGATATACCATTTGGTAGTTTTAAAGAACATAATAATTATAGCTTGCCGTACGTATATTTGACTTACACTGACAAAATAAAGACATAAACAAACATTTTGTTAAACTTGTTCAATGGTGCAAAATTCACAGTCCTTTTTCAATATACTGTATTTAGGATACATTAAAAAACACAAATAAAACATTTCTTCCCTATACATTAAATACAACACCGGTAACACTGACTAAAAAAATATACGCGAGGAACTTAAATATTTCAAAACAAATTCTTTAAAATATGAAATTTGCAGATATGATATAATTGTCCATTAAACAATAATTCATCAAAATACCAAGAGGTAAGATCAGGAACATTGACAGGTCGGTCGTGTATGACCTCAACAATAAACCAAGACCCTTACGGTGAGGTACATCATAATTATACCTACTATGGAAACAACATGAAACAAATGAAAATGTTTAATTAACGAAATATTTTAAACATAATTTGATATCTGTAGAAGATTCAGTCCACTTCAGTATTACAGTCTTTGTCTTCTGACATAAAAGAGATGTACGACAGGCGTTACTAGTGGAGCAGGAACTACTGATACTTCCCAAGCATCTCAGTTCACCAACGGGTTTTGGTCCTGTTCGTGTTACTTATTCATCCCCTGGAGATCACCCCATTTCTTGGTTGGGTTCGTGTTGCTCAGTCTTTTGTTTTCTTTGTTGTGTTTTGTGTACCATTGTTTGTTTGTTTGTTTTTTCTTTTTTAGCCATGGCATTGTCAGTTTATTTTCGACTTATGAGTTTGAATGTCCCTTTGATATCTTTCACCTCTCTTTTATTCAATATTACATGGCTCTATTTTTTATATAAATAAATGACACCAACAGACATCTTTTACGTTTAAGTGTTGAGTTATTTCGGAATATAATTTTGACATTGCACAGTGCCTTGTTACAGTTCATATACCATCTTCCACTATTCTGTAAAATACTTACACATATTGTGGATAAAGCAATCTTTCTGCTAAAGCTGACATTTTTGCAAATAAGTCTGAGTTTATATCTTCACCTTCCTTTATTTCTAAGAGTTCACAAATATATTGATAATGTTCATGATTTAAAGTATCTACTAGTACATTCTTCAAGGCTTTCTCCAACTCCTAAAATTACAGAAAACAAAAACATAAAAATGAAGCACAGAAACAATATGGTTATTGAAACTTTTTGTCTTTGACATGTTGTAAATTAACATCATTAGATTTTAAAATAATGACATTGAGTTAATAAACAATTTTATAAGTCTGGATTACAATAAGATAACATCGTGACAATCTAGAGTGAAGCAGGGTTTAGTTTCATAATCAGTCTAAACTGTTGTCGTCCTTTTTTATGTAATATTTGCCGCTGGGCATTAAACACCAATTTATCGTCCTCTTTCATCATGATCATGAGAGTAACACCAACTCACCTTATAATGCATTGGTTTAGTCACAGCACCGACCGTTTGTCTATAAACATTATCATACAAGTGTTGTCGTCTCTTTGTAATTTTACAATACTTTACGATATATTGCTTAGGAGTCATCGCTAAAAATATCAAATGAATACAACTGTCAACATGATATCTAACGTAAACAATATCAACAAATACATGCAATATGTGTGTTAAATACCCAAACTTAAGTTACATTAAATAGTTCTATCATTGTCATTTTGCTTAGTTTCTTCTGTTACATATTCTAACATCGGACTCGGACTTCTTTTAAACTGAGTTTTACTGTGCGTATTGCTGTGTGTTTGTTTATTCTAATTGGCTAAAGGTATATGGGGATGGTTGAGATCTTGTAAAACATATTTAACCCCGCCGGACTTTTTTTGGTTCATTTATATATGTTTTGGAGTTTAGTGACGTCTATTTTCTCTGAACTAGTATACATTTTTGTTTAGGGGCCAGCTGAAGCTAGCCTCCGGGTGTGTGATTTTCTCGCTGTGTTAAAGACCCATTGGTGGCCTTGAGCTGTTTTCTGCTCTTTGGTCGGGTTGTTGTCTCTTTGACGCATTCCCCGTTTGCATTCTCAATATTATGTTCGATCTATCTTGCAGATTTCTTTTACTTTTATTGTTTTCACTCTTTTTTTTTCTACGGATAGTAATGAAAATAATTATTTTAGGAACTGTTTGTGCCACAATTATATATCATATCACGCCCGACAGGCAGGATATGATTTCTTTTCGGAGCATCTAATACGACCTCCGGTTTTTATGAGATTCCCTAACTTTAGTTTAACGTTTTGTCTGTTGTATACAAAAGATCAGTTCAGAAATGGTGGTGCATTACAGGAATGCCACTGTATTGCTCATTCTTATTACATGTATACTAGTAGTTCAGACGTCATATGCGAGGATGGTGAGACTGTACAAAGTAATTTACAAAGACGGGAGTTGATTGAGGGATTTCCTGCATACCCAGGATCATAGGTAAACACTGAAATGCGATGTTCTTATATAAATGTCATCATAATTATCCTTCATTGATTTGTCGACCTTAGCTATATTGAAAAATTGTTCTGGCAAATATCTAAGTCTGCTCAGCAGGTCAGGCTTTCTCAACTTCCTTTTAAGTATCCGGGATGTTTTCTGACATACATACACATTTTTGGGCCTTTTATAGCTTTCTTTGTAGTAAGGGTTTTGCTCCCTGTGGAAGGCCGTACAGTGACCTATACATTGTAGTTGTTAACTTCTATGTCATTTTGTTGAGAGTTGTCTCATTGGAAATCATACCACATCTTCTTATTTTTATACAATTCATTTCCAATTTTTGCTCTTGACTTACTTTCCAGCTCTTTCATATCCATGGGTAATGTGAACCTACTGGACTGTTGTGACAGAGCTAATCTGCCTGTTATCTTCACCGGTTTGTTAGTATGTTTCTGAAAATAAGAGTTATCTTTGTGAAATACACAAACAAAAAGTTCAACGGAATCGTCTTTTATGTTTCATTCCATCAGAATTGAAATAAAACAAGGAGATTTTTCTTACCTCGGTAGACATCATCAAACGAAGTTTAACGCTATTTGATATCAAGATAAGTTTTTACTTCATATACAATAAACTTTTGAAGACAAAAGTCGGTGTAATTTTTTTGTCATAAACTAGTACTATCAAGTACTATTTTTCTTTTATTTCCACATATGCGTATGTTTTAGTCTCAAGTGCATAACATCTTTGAATTTGACATATAATTGTAAATACTCCTGTAAATACACTGTACATGTATAAAAAGCACAGATATTGCTTGCTCGTGATAATAGATTCTTCCCATTTAGTCATGTTTTCAATATCGTGTATGACGCATCATAAATAAGAACAGAATATTTTTTCTTAAAAGGTTTGATATGTAACATTGACTTTTAATTTGTAATTAATGCAAACAAATAAAGTGTTTCAAGATAAGTGACACATGCAAAGAATTTACCATGTAAAAACATCTGACAACACCGTTTGATGGTAAAAGTTTATACGTGCTTACTTCTTTTCACATTGTGTCTTCCAGTTAACGAGTAATTTACTTTGAAAGCTTTTTGATTTGGTTGTTCCTGGTGAAGCGTTAGTAAAAAAATGTGCTTTTAAGGTATCGGATTTGATGTTTCTACTTTGATTTATAAGACTTGTGAGCTTAGCTGATATAACAGTTACTGTACAACAGTGTATGCTATTTAACTAAATTAAACGACAAAAAATGTCATTAAATGCGCGTTTTGTCAATAACTGTGATAACGTATTGTAGAGATATATGGATGTAGAAGCAAAAATGTCTAGATTTCCACTTATTTTCATGTCTAACCAAATCTATTTCTGGAAACCAAAAAAATCTGGAAATGCAGCATCTTCCATAGGGTTGAGAACGCATGTGTGTCTGGAAATTCCAATGTATTCCATATGGGGGGGGGCAGACTATTTCTTGCATAGCCCAACAGTATTAAACTTTTGAACCTCAAATATAACTGAAAAATAATGCACCCACCTTTGGTGATTCCTCTGGACTAGTCATGTCTGATACCATTAGTTCAAACTTCTTTAAATGGTCTGTTAATGCATCACTAAACAAGCTCTGAAACGTAATGTATGGGTAAATCTTTAAGAACCACAAACAAAACATTCTTTTTTTCATAATTTTATAAACAATACCTATTGCTGTTCTATTTCTCAAAGTCATGTGAGGCCTTCAAAATGTAGTAAATAACTCACACGTCACTACATTTAATGACGTCACTAGCAGAATTAATCCCTAGAGGACAATTGAGCCTTATAGTGTATTTCAGTTAACGGCCTCGGAGAAATATCAAAAAATAATTACCCATATTTGGCGTAGAAATCAACATACTGTTTATATATAAATTACCCGACAATCTCATTGTAAAAATATCAATACAGAAACAAGAAAATCACCGAGTTTGAATTTCTGCTTCAATATAAATTATCTTGGATCTTTCTATCAACCATTGTTATGCGTCGATGTCTTCCTCCGATTTGTATATAGAGTATCACAATTTAGTATGTCCTATCTAGTCAGCTGAACTAGTATTTTTTATAAAATTGAAATGTATAAAGAATACAAAGTCATTTAGAATAAAACTGTTTCTTACATCATCTTCTATTTTAGGTTTTTCAGTTTTCGGAATAGCAAATTTTTCAGGTTTATTTTTCTCTTTCTTTTGTTTTGGTCCTGGTTCTTTAAATTCAGGCAAGGTTGGTTCTGGCAGATTTACTACTATTTCTGGTTCTTTTCTGAAAATAGAAAAAAAACAGTCTTTAGTATACAATCTTTTTATATATCCGTAGGAAACATGTTCATGCTGGGGCCTCTGTATCACTAGCCTGTCAACACTGAGTTTGTGAGCTGGAAACAAGCATGTGATAGGTGCGTTCTACTCCAATCTTAGTTGACTACGATTGTCAGTTTCCTGCCGAACCGCTATGAAGCCAGTAATGCTGAAAATAGCGTTGAACACCAATCAATCAACCAAATGAGTTCATGCTTTTGATCTTTGATCTATGTCATATACAAGTGTGAACATTGATATCATATACTAAGTATCACCATTCATTGAATAATTATCAAAAACTAAAATTCCGACTCCGTCGATAAAACTGATACGCGTAAACAAATAATACAAAAATAAAAAACAACAAACAACTCTAAGACTAGATTTGTTGTTTATCATTTCTGATGCAATATTTTGTCCCTTTTATATATACACGTATCAGGAAATACTTTATAAAATTACGTGAAATTTAACGTGTTATTTTTGTCAGTGTTGCTGTTATTTCAATATTTCACTGCAGACTTTCTGAACGACACATAGAAAAATATTCATTACCTTTGATATTTCATAAAAATTTACAAAATTATTCAATTCTTATATATCTAAATCTATTTTGAGCACAATAAATTGATTACCTTAACGAAGATGCAGTTTCACAGTCCTTTTCTGATGGTTTAAAATCAAGATCTATTTTTTTATATTTCAATAATTTACAATATTGTCTTTTCCAAGTAGCAAGATCAAAACATAAAATAACAAATTCTTTAAAATACGTGTTTATTCTAACAAATCATTTGTCAAAAGTTAATATATTGGTTCAATAAGGGCATACATTTTTCTTTAAAGTATTGTCCAGAATATTGACAAAGCTTATGTCAATAGTCAAACATAACACTCAATAATATCATTGACCCTGTTCAAATTGAATAGATCCAATATTTTTCTCTATTGCAGTCTCAATTGGTATTAAAGTTGAGTGCATTTAAATTTTACCTGCGGGGCTCAACTATTTTCGAATCTTATAAACATAAAATCAGTCCGATGAAAAAGTTAATTTGAATTTAATGTGAATTCCTTACAGCTACCGTTTGTGTCTTACGTATGTCCTGCTTTATATTTTTTAAAAATAGATTTACACCTAAAGTCGGATTTTTATGTAATAGTCTTCAGGTTTTTTTTCGCAATATATATGGATCGTATACAGTCAGTGTTAAACGACATGAATCAAATTAATATGAGACAGAAGCTACGGTATTTGTACCTGATGAGCCCCCGAAGGTTATTGGTGCATGTTTGTTTAATTATCATCATACTTTTGGGTATTCAGATATACAAATGTGCGGGAAATCAATTTCTCTGATGGAATTTTATCGAAATTCGTATTCTGTTTTACGAAAATACCCTAAAACGAAAACTGAAAAAACTTGTATAGCCCGTCATGTTGTTGAATGCATTTCAATATCATAGTGATATATATCCAAATCGACCCTTTTACCATTTATGCTCCATTCAGGAGATAATGATCTAAGGATATGTTTTGTCCTGCTATTAAGCAAGTTATGAATATTTTCTTTATTTAAAAAAAAATTAAATCCTACTACAAGTAGATTCCTAGTATTTTAACTACAGCCCATCTTATAAAAATCAAGGAGCCGAAAATAGCGCTTTTACATCGTTTTGTTCAAATGAATCAAATATTAAAGGAGTGGAAACAGTTGAACATAACATAGGAGCTTGGTACATGCAAATTTAGAAAAAAAGGTAGCATACTATACGGTATGGGTTTTTCTCATTGTTGAAGGCCGTACGATTGCCTATAATTACTTACATCCACTTTATTTGAAATTTGGTGGATAGTTGTCTCATTGGCAGTCATACCACATCTCCTTATTTTTATATCAATAAATTACTGTTTCTAGAGTACTACTATGTATAGAACAACACAGTGCCAAACAAATATATCGTGTTAACACTTGCGTGTATATGCACTTTTATTGAGCTATGCTTTGTAAACAGATATGCGTAGTTGTAAGGGACAAATCCATGATTTTTCAAAAGGGGGAGCGTAATGCCATAAAAATGATCCGCCCATAACTTTGTGGACGATTGTATAATAAAAATGATATGTTTTCTCTCAAAAAGGGGGAGGGGAGTACGCCCTCTAGTACGCCATCTATGCCCATCTAAAACCGGAACTGGTTGTCGTGTTAGGTTGATTCTGATAGATCTCTTTCTTGTAAAGTGTGCAGAGTAAAATAATTCTAAAAAAAGCCTATCAATAGAAACACATTTGGAAAAAAAAAAATGAAATTGAAATAATTAATTACTAGCCTTCTCTGTAGACATAAATTCCTCCTTATGACGATGATGTTTTACAAGTATTTGCATTTTGAATATCCGTTATGGTGTAGTGAAAATTATGAATTGAAAAGTGCATCTATATTTCAATGGCTTGTATAATATGTCAATTCATTGAATTCGTGTCACTTATCATTTATGAATTTTAATAAAGCGATATTCTTTATTTGCATTTACGATCAAGTGAGATAAATCACACAGGTAATATCATTTTGAAATCAATAAATCAATTGATAAGAGAAGTATGCAAAATATTATCTGAAACGTCATATTTTCTTTAACTTTCGGGGTGCACATGAATCCCGCCATTTTGAATGGAGTTTATGTTGCTCAGTCGTTAGTGTTTCTCTCGCGCTGTTTTGATGATTGTTCATGGTCTTTCAGACGCAGACGGTAGTTCTTTTTTGCCTATTTTGGTCAATCAGTCTGCAAATTATTATTATGATGCGTCCACTACTGCTTCCCCCCTTTTCCAACCCCAACCCAATTAATATATGTTTCTATTTATATCTTTCAAAACCTTCAGCAACAGCTACCAAACGGAATACCTATTTGACCCCGCAGGTAATCTACCGTTCTACAATAGAACATTTAAAATAATTGGGAATTGAAGAAAGTTGATTTTACGTATAGAATAGAACACTATAGAGGTTCTATAAAATAATACCAGAATATAAGAGATGCTTATGAGTAAACGGTTGATATATATATATATATATATTTTCTTTTAGATGATCTTTATATATGAAAAATAAAGCACTTGAAATAACACATAAAAAATATAAGAACCTACCATAAATCCAGGAACATTTGAAAATGTCTCAGTTTGATAGATATTTTCTTTCTTATCTTAATTTACATAGCTTTGGAATAATCCTCCCATGACATGATATTTCCATTTTATAACATGTACAAAGTTCTGTCAACGTTTGAAATATCAAGATCAATATTGAATGTGCGACGTTCTACAGTGTTAATAATTGATTTTGTTGTCAATCAAAGATCCAAAGAATGAAAAAATTAGGGTTATCCTACCTAAAATGCAACTGTGTTAAATTCCTTCTAAAATTGTCAATTTTATAACTCCCCTTTTTTTAAAATTATATTTCAGTCAGGACTAATGGGAAAATATACGTTTTAATTTCTTTCAATCCAAATTGAAAAATAATTATGGATAGAAATAACGTTGACTAATATTTCTTAATACGTCTAGATTTATGTTTATAAATCAAGCGGTACGTTGCATGAGCACAGTATACAATCTTCTTGGATACACAAGTACACTAAAACTAAAACTCATATAACTGGCATTTCTTACCATCTATAGAATGAGAAAATGTTATATAATCACTATAGTATAACTATTTATGTAATTTACACTTTAAAAATGTATGTCACATTAAATGTTCAGTATTGCAAAATTGAGCATAATAATCCGATGAAATCAAACCTCAAAATCGGACTTATTCAAGAAAGTTTTCTTGATATAACCAATGACTGTACATAACAACGTTTTATCTGTCTGTATCTAAGAATCAACAATTAAAAATTCTATTTGATAACGCTCTAATCAGCTAATATTGACTCTATTAATCCACCATCAACATGCTTCGTATTTTACAATCGGGAGGAAATTGACAAAATTGATAGTTTTCACTTACTTAATCGAGTTAATCAATTAAACATATTGTTTGAAATAAAATTGCTTTATTCGTTTTAATTGATATTTTGAATAAAAATTCCCGATATTTGCTGTTACGTTTGAATAAAAGAACAAAAGCATCAATTAAATTTGTAATGAAGAATGAATCTGCAAAACGTACGTATAGCTAAATACAATACTTTGGTAAGACTTCTTTTGATGGAATTATTGTTCCATTTACAATTTTATTACTTTTAACAACTACTACATCAAAAATAGCTTGGTCCTATGTGTGTTACATTCTGTACAGAATTCCTTTGAATCAGAATATTGGATGTTTCCTTGTAAAAAAATTTGTGCATTATTAGTCAAACGAATTCGGACGCAGTTTCGTGTGCGAATGAAAGTGTCCCTTGGTAGATTTGACTTAAATAATAAGAAATCAATACAATTTCTATTGAAGAAAGAATCTGCAAAAAATATGATTAACATAATTTTTTTAGCAAGACTTATTTTAAAGGAATTATTGTTCCATTTATTAATGCTTTCAACAATAACAGCTACGTAAAAAAAGCCTGGTCTTATGCGTGTAACATTATGTACAGAATTCCTTTGCATCAGAATATTGCATGTTTCCATGGATAAACTTCTCTAAATGATTATTCAAACGAATTCTGTCGCAGATTCGGTTGCTAATGAAAATGGCCACCCTTGGTAAGTATGACATGTCAGTGAAACTATTTTAGTGTTCTTTAAACCAAAATCAAACTAATCATCCAAACGACTTTAACAATATTAATATGACAAGTAAATATTGTTGACCTTACCATCACTGACTATACTTCAATGAACTTCACAAGTATTTAAATGGCAAAAATTACAAATTTTGCTTACATTTTATATACAGTATAATTCTAAATTATGTTTATTTAATAGATCGTTCACTACTCAGGACAGTTTTCGGATTACTAATATGTAATTTTCATCTTAATTTAAATATATTACATATTTGCCTCGTGCATAAATGTGTTTATCATTCAAATGTTAAAAATGATATAAGTTCTCCGCATAACCCATTCCTGCACAGTAAAGGTATACATGGAAATTTGACTTACGTGGAGTTCACCTCAAACGAGCGTATACGTGATACTCAGGTGAACTGATTTCACGTGCGCTTCACGTGAATCTCATGTGAAATTCGTGTGAATTTCACGTGAAACTCACATGATTTTTTTCACGTAAGATTCACGTGAATTTTCAAAATTTTAATTATTCAAATATCATCAAAAATTTTTGATTAAATTGGAATCATGGAAAATTCCATTTTTTTTTTTTTTTGGTAAAGTTAACGTGAATTTCACGTGCACAATTTTAAATCTCAATTCACGTGAATTTCAGCTCAAATTAAGGAGCTTATACGTGAAAGTCACATGAACTGATTTCACGTGAATCTCATGTGAATTTCACGAAAAAATCACAAGATTATTTTTTCACGTCAAAAAAGTTCTTCAAATAACATTCAAATTTTTGAATATAATCAAAATCATGAAAACTTCCAACATTTTGTTGTAAAGATAACGTGAAAGTCACGTGAACAATTTCAAATCTCAATTCACGTTTCACGTATAAGCCGGGGCACGTTTTAGGTGAATTTAGAGTGAGTATAATATGCCTGTGTATAACCGCTAAACTGCTGAATGTAGACTATTCTGATAGTCATGTGCTAATTGGGCTTTGCAAATGTAGGCTATTTACGTTGAGTACTATTTATTTACACTCAGGGGCGGATCCAGTCATTTTTTAAAGGTGGGGTCGCAACCCAGGATAAAGGGGGCTTCCAACCATATGTCCCCATTCAAAATCATTTTCGTCAAAAAAGGGGGTTCCAACCCCCGGACCCCCCCCTCCCCCCCTTTCCCTTGATCCGCCACTGAGTTGTATGGCGACTCTGGACGTCTCTGCTGAGTATTATTAAGGATCTGAACACTCACAATAACAACATCCTCTTTTGAAGAATGAAACTGACCTCTTTGAATCTTGAATGGCAAATTAAACTGTCTTAAAGTTTTAAAGTATCTTCACAAAGCACGAGTAGTTTAAACACGTGCAAGTCTTTCTCAAAAGTTGACAAAGTGCACTCATTGTTCAGGTTTGTGACAAATCAGGCATATTTTATTGACGAAGTTTGATTGAAGACAACAACTCCCCCCTTTTCGAAACACGATACTTCGTAAATTCTGCTAACAAATGCACCTAATGAAATTGAAGATGCTTAGTACGTTGTATGTTTTACTATTTAACAAATGTTTGCATGTTTTTTTTTCTGGTCAGTAAGACAGATTCATGTTTGTTGTATAGATCAACATAGTTTTATATCAAGCAAGTGTCTTGTGGTAAGCTTAAGACTAACAACCACAGCCACTTACAACCTCAAGAAAAAACTCAGTTTCAAGAAAAAGAAAAAGGCATACACACACACTGACTAATTAATATCTACTGTATTCTATATACTAACAAACCTTCAAATGCGGTATGTCAAATTCGTCTGATGGATTTAATTTTAAGTTCCTAAACAATTATCGACTACCGTTGCAACTTCATCATCAAAGTGACAATCCAAAATAAAAAATACTTACAAATAACTTATTTTAACTATTGAAATAAAAGTTTTATTAGCATTATTGGACTTAAGCCAATAAACTATTTCACCCAGTAGTAAAGAAATTTTATTTAAATGTTTTTACTGCACTGTGTTCCTTTTAAGTTCAAATTTGTCATTTTTCTTTTTCTAAAGACGTATTGAACCGTATATTTAAATTCAATTTCTTTATTGTCAATTTGACAATTTTTAAAAGGTGCAAATTTGTATTTCATTTATTTCTACATTGCGTGAATGTTTTAATTGAGTAAGGAAAACTGGTAACTAGGCGATTATGTAGCTAAGTAAATATATCTATTTAATTCAAAGTACGGTAGTCCTTTTCGCCAATCGTCATTGACACGTTAAGAGAAATTCGTGTCTTCTTTTGAAAACATTTAACACGCAATGTGTTCGATGTCACTTTACACTTAATTGCCCATATATAAAACAAAACAAACAAGTGCCGTACTATAAATCGCATTGTTTATATAACCTTTGTATAGTTTCATTATTTATTGATGCCTTCAGGTTTTATTTCACGCCTTTGTAGAACTGATTTACTATACTAAAATTTTCAGTATTCAAGGAACGTTGAAGTATTCGCTAGACTTTTCATTCTATAGAAAACTTTTGTAAATATGGTTAATTCTTGTTTACACATAACTACAAAAGACTTTTTAGTCCATGTAATTTAACATTTGTTTTATGTATATTTCTTTTGGGGGTTCTTTTTATATTGTAACAAATATTTGTGAAGCTTTGTACTAAAGAATTACATGTACGTGACCGTTTGTTCTTCAACACACAATTGAAAAGCTTGCAAACGTGAACTGAGACTCACAACGTACATATGTACTCTTGTAGAAATTGATTGTTTTTGCTTAATGTCCAGAGGCAAACATGCCATGCATATATATGCAGAACGAGAACAAAATAACAAAACATCGAACTGCTATGTTCTACAGCGTTAGTCGACCGATAAGAAAAGCAGATTATTTTACAACCACTGGAAAATCATAGTGTATCTAAGATAATGGCAGACATTTTGCTTTGCAAGTAATGAAGCCACCAACGGAACCGTCAAAGGTTTGTTGAAGGGTTCCTTAAACATACAATGAGCGTTGAAGTCTCCCTATACAATGATTACGATGGGTGTGTTTAACGACCTAGGTTGGCTTTACAGCCCTCGCACGGTCCGTCCATATACAAGAGGAATGGCCTCGTGTTCATACATCCTGCACATCCATAGGGTGTCCTTCTTCAGCATAAGCTGTACTGCCGCATGAGAAATGTCCATAGATGACCATACTTTTATTACCCGGTCACCCATGGGGTTTTGTAGAAATGATATTAACTCTAATTCTAAAAGACAGCTTATGGGAAGCACGAATAAAAACTTTCACGATGACATATAAAGGAAAAAGACAGAAGAATAACTATGTACATTTGTATGTTGTACTTATTATTTAACAATGAATGAAATTACACGATCTTTTTTCATTAAATCAATTTCAAATGTTGTGCATTTTTCTGCTGAATGCGGTAGATCGTACTTCTGAAAAATTTAAATCGAAAGCGTGTTCACCCAAATTTTCATTATGTAATCAAAATAAAACTGCACGATTTTAAATATTTACACATGGCGAATAATAAATTAATATGAAAATGCAGGACATCTTTTAAAACAGACCAAATAACGTTCAATTATTTACAGATGTGTTCCATTCATTTCATTGTTACGCATAATTGTTTGCATGATGATTCAAGCTAGCCACAAGGAACGGCAAATATTACGAGGAAAAAGTCGAGATTATTTTCCCGATCATTAAAAAAGCTTGTTTTCGGTTTAAAATTCTTGTCTACCACTGTATTTGTCCATATACACTGATAGTGCTAGGGTAACGCAGGTTTACTTCGTATTGTTTCGCAAATTCTGATAAGCGTACGTGATGTAATGAGTTTGAAAATAAATCTAGTTTCGTGCGCATTGAAGTCAGTTCAATGAATCAACATTTGGTAAACCAAAATGACCACTAAATTAATATTTCATGTTAAAACCATAATATTGACTACTTGGATGGTGATTCCCTCTTGACATATCATCCACCATCAGTGGTTGTTAAACGTCCTTAAACATACTATAAGCTTATAATAAAGTACGTCAGACACGCATTTTGTCTACATAAGACATACACAATCTTCAGTCAATATAAGCGTCTTGTAAATTCTAAAAAAAAAGTAGACACTTGCTCATGGAAGCTTCTGAAATTAATCTTAAGTGCAGAAAGATATCTCTTAATGTTTGGTCTAATTAACAACACACCCTACATGACCTATCACACAGAATCAGGGAATAAACCAAAAGTAAAACAACATAAGTATAATCAATACAAATTTCACTTACTTTTCCTCGACAGGTGGTGGCGGTGGTGTTGGTTCTCTCGGTGGTGGCGGTTCTTCAACTGTTTTTTCCATATCTTCCTTTTTCTTTTTGTTGAACGGTTTCTTTTCTAATGTTTTCTTAGTGACGGGTGCCTTCTTTTTAGGAGGAGAAGGTGGTTTCACTGTTTCTTTCGAGAACGAAATATTTGGCGAAGGAGGGGGTTGTGTAGGTGATTCCGAGGCTCTATTGTCGTCGTCAGTATTTCTATATGTACTGTCATCGGGTATGGTCAGTGTATGTATCTGCAAAAAAGCAGTGAGGGAATATTATGTAATAAGTTGCTAACACAGGGACAAATAACATTTGTGTGACCTTACCACAAACGTTTAACCATTTTCGACACCACCGACGATAGAAATAGCATACCTAAGTCTCGCTTCTACGACTTTCGTCGCAGGCGCTAATTCAATTGCATATGTTTATGAACTGGAAATGTACAAACACAATATAGTATTTGAATCATGCCAGTACAATGTTCCAGTTACTGGTACCCCGAGGCTGATAGTAATATGTTCTCAACAGAAACAGGTGTAAAGAGATATAAGAAGATGTGGTATGAGTGCCAATGAGACAACTCTCCATCCAAGTCACAATTTATAAAAGTAAACCATTATAGGTCAAAGTACGGTCTTCAACATGGAGCCTTGGCTCACACCACACAGCAAGCTATAAAGGGCCCCAAAAATTACTAGTGTAAAACCATTCAAACGGGAAAACCAACGGTCTGATCTATATAAAAAACGAGAAACGAGAAACACTTATGAATCACATCAACAAACAACTACTGAACATCAGATTCTGACTTAGGACAGGTGCACAAGGTCTAGATTGGTTTTCTGACTTAGGACAGGTGCACAAGGTCTAGATTGGTTTTCTGACTTAGGACAGGTGCACAAGGTCTAGATTGGTTTTCTGACTTAGGACAGGTGCACAAGGTCTAGATTGGTTTTCTGACTTAGGACAGGTGCACAAGGTCTAGATTGGTTTGTTTTCGTTTCTGTATTGTTTTTTTTTTTTTTTTACTTTTTATGTTTTTTTTATCTTCTGTTCATTATTCTCAAATCTATATAGTACCACATCATTCTCTTAATGTTTTAGCTTATATTTCACTATTATTTTGTGTCGTTCCATTATTTCCTATTCTGTAAACCCCACCCAGACCCTTGGGTATCAAGTGCAATCAAAATATTTGAGCTTATGTTTTACTGATCAAAATGGAATTCAAACGTTCTTCTACTGTAATTTACTAATAAAACATTGTTCGTGCAGGAATGAGACAATAAATCATTAAATTTAAGACACAAGTATTTTTTTTTACAGATGACTACAATTTGACTTCAGTGTCTACTTTGACTTCGTTTTTTCTTGATCCTGTATCGACAAAATACATGGACCTAGTTCAATTAATATCAGATGGATCTTAATTCGATTTCTAACTTAAGCATCATCATAAATAATTAAACGACTGTGCTAAATAAAGGTAAAAACCTAACATGATACATTTAATTGAAACAATGTTAAATTAATCAGAAAATTATCGACTTACTAGTAGATTTACATAATGTCTCCTTTTCCATGTCAAAACTCAAATAATCTATCACTGTGTGTTGAATAAAAATGTTTTGCATGCAAATTCTTATTCAGAATAGGATGAGATGTTAAAATATTGATGAAAAAATAAAGCACCATTGGTGATGATGAAAAGCCTTTTAGGAATACTGTTTAGCGCCGTCGGAATCAATTAGAAAACGTTTATCGTTTGTCAATAGAACTGTGTCGGTAATCAATACTCTTGTAATTATCTGAAGTTTGTTTAGCTTTGTCCCAGGTATTGCCAGGATGTGCGTACTTTTTCAGGTTTAGTGAGTTAATACCGTTTATAGATTTATTACATGAATACAATATTGGTAATTTACGGTGTTACAGTACATAAGTGTACAGAAATAGATTTAAGATATTTGCATCAAAATACACCTCTCAAAACGTTGGTGAGAAAACGGGGTGTTTAAACCGAAGATCCTCTGATAAAAGTGAGGCATTTACAGCAACCTTGTATAGATATCTCCAAAAAAAGAAATCCCAAAAATTTAAAACTAAAAGGTTTGCACCATATTTGGGAAACCGATAATCAATATGCTTGATACGTTGAGCCAATTATTTGGTTAAAGCTATGGTGAACGGTCTAATTCGTCCATATTGTTTCACTTACTTTAATTTCTAGCAGCAGTAAAAATATACTACCCTTTTGGTAAAATATTGCATCGAAAATTGTAAAAATGTGTTTACTTATTGGTTTAATTTAAAATGTTAAAAAAATTCAGAATGTGATATAGTCAAAATAAGCTTTAAAGTCGCAGCAGTATTTACAAACTCAACTATATGATTCAAAATCAGACATACCATATAATCTTACACGACTTTTATTTAAATTTATTTTACAATTAATTTCGAATTCAAAACAGCAAACTGTTACTGATTACATGTGCATTTCATTTAATTGGCCACTTTAGCGCAACTGGGAAATTTGATTTATCTCCCTTTGGTTGGGTATTTTCGACAAGTATACTAGAATGTATAGCATAAAATGTGATTTTATATTTTTGTTAGAAAACGTCACTTACAATTTTGAGATAAAATATTACAGGTATAAGCGAATCTAAAGTTATGCATTAAGAATAAAGTTAAAGACTGCAGGACGGTTGTGGCTTATGAAGATACATTTACGAAGAATGTAAAACAAGCAAACTCAGCTACACGAATGAAACACCTCTTGAATATGAACAATACTAATGAAAATGGAACATGAACATTATTACATGTATTTCCCTTGCCTGAGGGAGATATGAAGATTTCATGTGTTCATCAAAGAAAATTAATATCTCCCAAGGGCATCGACCGATGAAAATATGACTTTTCGAGGGTAAACAAATCTTTATATCTCCCTACGCCAAGGCTAATGAATGTTTTTATTCCTTAGTCTACACTTTGTTTTTTTTCCTGAACATGACTTATTAATATTAATACAATTTCTCTTATCCGCTTGCTTAAATAACTTAACACGTTATAGTTAAACAGTACTGATTAAAAGTTAATTACTTATTCCTGGGACATAATATATATAATATAGTTAGTATGATTATCCCAGCTTATTCTATGAAAAGATTTTTTTTTCTCTTGTTTTTTCGATTGAAAAAATTTTCAATAATTTTGAACACGATAATGACTAGATTATCGCTATCTTAAAAAAATTTCAAAACATTTTGTCTATTAACCGTGCGTAACGTCGCACGAGGTAGACAGAGGGGAATGTGATATTCAAAAGAGAATATGAAGTTTTGTTCAATGTCATGTGGTATTTTCTCAGCCAATCAAAAGTTGATTTTGCCATTAATATTTACAAAAAAACAGTGGAATACAATCTATGATTACATGGAAGAATTCCAAACTTTACTTACAGTTCTCTTTTTCTTTAATAAATCATCGTCGTCGTCTTGTAATCCTATAATACACAAGGTGTTAGTAAAACAATTGTATAATGTTCAAGATTCAGTTTCAAATGCAATTGTAAAAATCACTTTATGAAAAAAAAACATTTATGTTTGCATATCGCAAAAGTAAAAAAAACAATGTGTATTTCTTATATTACTTAACATGTGGAAATAACGTTAATCTAGATAAATGGCAAAAGTAAAATGTTTTACACAATTTATGCTAATTGGTTGCAAACGAAGCGTATAATATCTTCATGATTTGTAATATAATAAGCAAAATATCAACATAATTCATTAAACAAATTCTTGACTATATAAACATATTAAACAGCAAATTTCAAAAACTGAGTCGCTTAGACAATTTTGTTTTCAATGGCATTAAAATTATATTTTGGTATGCTTAATACCATTTTTCTTTTTTAGAAAATAAACGTTTGTGTCGAAAAACGTAAAAGTCACCAAACTTTACAAACTGGGTATGCAACAGGTTGTCTTGTGTAATAAAATTTATACTAAGACTCAGTAAGTGAAAGGTATTTTAGTAAGTAGCTATCTATAAATACCAAGTATAACCACCATTTGATAGTTGAACTTGACTATGTAAAATGATAGTCAACAAAAATAACCAGAAAATTGGGGTAATCAATTAATAATAGACGCACAAGGTCTAAAATTATTATGATTTTTGTATTGGTTATATGTTTCATTCTTATTTCAATATGACGACATTAGAACTTAATGTCCAATAACTGGGAGGTTGAAAGTTTTACAAAAATCTATTAATTGTTTTCTTCGTGTTGACATATAAATCTTATAATTTTGTATTATTTCCGTGACTAAATAGCTTTTTCAAATGGTCGTTAGTCTGTTAATAGCAATATAAGCATATAATCAACAAAGCCCAGCGAAACCAAACATCACCATAAGAAAATTTTATTTTGACAAGTAGATGTCGCTGCAAAGGGTAAACATGTCTTGTAATCAATGCTTTGAAGCTATTGATAAAAAGCAATGCCGCTCAATAAATCATACTTATCTGTTATATAAGTAAATCAAGAGTTACAACCAATAAAGTTTCAATAATGATAAAATCATTTTTTCTCGATAAAAGCTTTGTAAATTGTCATTTCGTAAATGAAAAAAGTGTGCAATATGTACATGTATGTGTAAAAAAAACTATGATTTTATTGCGTTTAATTTACAAATCCCAACCAATTCCACTACGTTAACTATTCAATGCAAAAATGCCATCTTCAAGTTCTCTATGAACAAACCTTTAATCTTTTTCTGTCTGATATATTTATACACGATGTCTATGTAATACATATGAATTATCAAATACTGTGAATATGTTCAAGATTATTTTAATGATACGAAAAATACAGACATTATTAAAACAATTTTATTTGTTTTCACAATTATTTAAAAAATATAGTAAAACATCATTAGACATAAATTTACAAAACTCCATTCTTAATTTCACTGCACGAGTTTACCAAACACTTCATCATCTCGCAAGCGAATTGTAAGAAGACAATTGTTTATTGTTCAAAATATTGGCAACGAAACGATATGAAATGTCAAAGATATAAATTGTACTTTACAAATGTTTCCTGTTTGTCTATCACTAGCGAGTATTAGTACATATAACAGTACTGCAATACGTGTACAAAAATAAAAAAAGTTGTCTGCATTTGATTGGATACAAAGGTTTTTGAGTTTTTTTTTAGCGAAAAAGAATCCGAAAAATATATCTTTCATTAGAAGACTCAAAATGACGACTATTAACAATCATGTATTTTTGTTTCAAAAACACTTGCAGAATTGAATATGTTGATTTCATCGGCATGGTTGATTCTTGTAGGTAAATTTAATACAGGCATTCGGTCGGAATTGATATTTCAATATATGAATGTACGTTATGCATTTTCATTTACATGGTGTGAATTTTAGAGCATTCTATTAAAAAATGTGAATCCTTATTGCCTTTTCATTTACACCGTGTGAAAACTTATTGCATTTTCGTTTACACCGTGTCAACATTTGAACAATAAACTGTTACCCATGTCTTCTTATTTATTAAGCAGCATGACAAGCAGCGTGTAATAAAGGGAAGATATACCAGAAGCAAGTTTGATATCGATAGACAGACGGTGCAGTGGTTTGCCCGACTTACTCTCTACAATAACAACTGGAGGTACCAGTTCAATTGACTCCGGATCATAATCCTCATTATCTGTAAAAATGTAATGTTTGTGTGTTTCATGCTTATTGGTGTCATCACATAAGTACATATACATGCTCTGGATGCTAACAACCAAACAACTAGAATTATTTATTTTATTTATCAACCATGACAGTATGCCCGGACTTTCTGACATGGCTGACATAACTGAAAGGGGGCTGGGGCTTGTACTTCGATTAGTGTTCCGTACTTTTTATCAGAATAAGAATTAGTTACCATAAAACTAACAAAAATAAAATATTGATGAATTAATATTGACATTCCTGAACATTATACATTCATACCACCTTCTTTAATTCTTACTTCAATTGACAGAATAACAGGTCTAGACATTTGGATCTAGGTTTAAGCTACCAAAACTATGTCCTATAGTATTCATTCACAAGAAGAAAATGTAAAGAAATGTGAATCTACATTATTTTTTAAATAATAAAAAAGCTCCGAATATACATACTACTGCATTAATATATTCATCAATAAATATGTGCTCTTTGACATGCATTTTTTAACATATCCAAAGTATGCAATGTGTTTTGTGTAATGCTATCAATCCAATATGCATCCATTAGTACAAGACAACAGTTGAATTTTCCAATTTTAACCTTCTTTGTATTTTTTCAATGTTACATACAAACGTGCTTTGTGATAATCTGTTTGTAACCGATTCGATCGAAAAATCCTCTACAGATAACGAATGATACGAATTGTCGCTAATTTTCACAATTCAATTTTGAATTGCTTATTTCCCTTACCTGGGATTTTTCGTAAATGTCGCTGTTATTGTTATTCAAAAATGATTGATTAATTGCTGTTTGCCTTACGTCCAGTGGCAAATATTTCAAAGTACTTTAATGTACAGTACAACTTAATGACCTTGCTTTAAATGTGAGCTCTTCGGGCCATCATTGAACTAGAAGCTACATGTATGTAGTTGTGCCTTGTTGTGGTTAATTCAAAGATTTTATGTCTTTATTTCATTTAAATCTAATTTAAAACCTTATATACTTTTTTCACATTTTGTTTATATTGTTTTAAGATGTCGTACATGCTAGAGACTTATGGAAATGCATATAAAAACTCTAAACAGTACTGTAGTGTAGTAACGTCAATTTCATACTCACTCAAATTGGTCAAGTCCATACGATCTAAATCTTCGTTGATTGAGGTAGGTGTTCCGGGTTTGCCATCAAGTCCGCTACCTGCTCCTTTCCTGAGAACATGTAAAAAACAATTGTGATGGGTTGGTTTTTTTGTAAATGATTTAATGTAATACCCAATAAGGACACTCATGAAGCCTATTATACAATTATAAGATAGAGTGTTGTTTGTACAGTTTAAAGAAACGTCCAGTCTGAATTGGAATGCATTTGAAAAACTAAAATATTTATCATCTTTAATGCATGAACCTTTTGTTATCATGTAGTGTTTACATTTATAATTTATCACAGGAAATGACAAGCGTTTTTAATAAAATTGATGTATTTGACTATCAACACTACATGTACTTTTTAAGTAGCTATCATCAATGCATGCTGTGCAATTTGCACAACAGGAAAATATGATTTTTTTGTTGACACTTATTTTAAAACATTGTCATTGTTTTAAAGGAAACATTAAAGGCTATTTCTAACCATGCAATCTTCAGTGCTGTTTTACATCGTAAGACTAAGCCAGTAGTAGTGATTTAGCCATGCTCATTATATATCATGCAATGTAATTTTATTTAATGGTAAAATAATACGATTCTTGATAATTGTTTGTCGTATACATCAGACAATGATTTCATGCAATGCTTAATGCTTTGAAATTATAATGGTACAACGTATAAGCATTCTATCAGTCACCGTGTCATATCTGTCCAGTTGGGTGTAAGTCACGTATGCTTAAAATACGGATAGTAAGCTACGTATTAGTATTATATTAAACTATTACCTATATTAGCAAGACTCGCAGAGATTTGAACCTTTTGGTGGTCTCCAAACGAAAAAATTTGAAAAATGAACTATGGATAATTTCATTGTTTTCATGTACGCTATTAGAATAAAAATGACGTTAACGTTACGTGAATGGTAGAATGTTCATTTAAAAAAAAAAGACTTTAACAAATATCACAACATTTTGTTGTTGTTCGAAAACAAATATCACAACATCTTGTTGTTAATTTTGTACGAAAACAATAATCACAACATCTTGCTGTTGTTCGAAAACAAATATCACAATATCTTGTTGTTGTTCGAAATGTGACCAAGAATTCTTTAGACTGCGCAATAGGTAAACACGCTCTAATCTATTGCACTCTTTACAGGAATTGCTTGACAATACACAACAGACACGAAATGTTATGTTATTGTACATGAACAGGGTAATCTTTTACAACAAAAAACATGAAGGAATTCCTTATCACCAAAACATTACAGTAACATATATATATAAAGTTCAAGGATGATATGACAAACATGCAATTTTGTTATTCTTTTACTATCTCAAATATCAGCTTTATCATATTGATAATCAAAAAAACAAAACTTAATGAAGCGTTTAATCGTTTATGACTGGAGACGCGTGCATCTGTCAGGCTTTCAGACATTGTCAATCTGACCACTATTATTGACAGAATCAACCTGATAATCTTAACGTTCCATAATATATCTAAATATTCGATTGAACTTTAATATCTCAAGGATCAATCAGATGGAAGCAGTCCAGAATATCGAGGCGTCGGTTCACAAATAATTTATTCGTATTAAATTATGTGATATCAGACATAGATTCTGGACCTTTTATGATGGGATCGCTGGTCAGATTTGTACCACCAAAGAACATCAACTGAAGTTGATTATAGAAAATATATAATATCTTTCAAGATAAGAAGCCTTGTATGCTATATGATATTTGAAACATCCTAAAATCTGAATACTTTAAAATATTGTGTTACAACTTTATAATATACAGAATGTGGGTAGATGAAAAACATGTTTGACTATGCTGAATAAGCCAGTGTACGAAAATATTCAAATTCGGCCTAATACGGTTAAATTGACATAAGCATTTCCGATTACGCTGTCCTTTTGACAGCTTTTGTGGCAAATTAGCCAAAAAAGAAAAAAAATAACGCTTTATTAAACCAAATGTGTATTGAAACTGGCCCAATACAGGATGCGTTGTTTCCGATTGTATCTGATAAACGCCTTATATAATTATAAAACATTGAATGTATTTTTGAAGCACTGTACATTAAACTGGTTGCTTCTGTATTGGCCCTTGTTTATATTTGCAGTCCGTTGAATTGGACCCCGGCCCCAATGCAGTAGATATCGAACTTACACAAGGGCCTTATACAGAAACAACCACTTACTAGTAATTGTAACACTATATTATAATGTATATATTTGAACTTTATGCGGTTATACCAAAGCGAATAATTGACACTGGGATACAATAATGATTGTTTATACATCTGGATCAACTTATATGGTACTGTTATATATTTGATTTCAAAGGCAGTTTTTAAACGATTATATGTTTTGTTTAGGATTTAAAATTAAAAAACAAAACAGACAATTGAAAGATATACTACATTTTCAGTAACGATTGAAACTGATTATACATATGGCCAAAAATAAAATTAAAGTTGTTTGATGTTGCCTACCTACCCACCTAAAAAGCAGCCTACCCGAAAATTTCATAAAACAAATCGTTTGAAATTTTTTTTTAAAGTTTTATCGTGCTCTTGCGTCGTTTTCTTGTCTAAAACATGTAACAGTTGTTGGTAAAAAAAACATAAAATCCCTACCTACCCAACTACCCAACCATACAAAGCATGGGTAGGCAACATCAAACAAATAATTTGTTAAGGATGGCCTATGCTAAAACTGAACATGTATATATATATAACTGTTTTAGTTTAGGTTTACCGTCTCAGTACATATTTTACTTTGAAAACTAAAGTAAATATTGATAATGAAGTCAAAGCATGCATACAGTACGAGGCAGTCGAGTATTTGTAGATACACAGATGATGAATTTTTGTTTAAACGATTGGAACTAGATATGTATACAAGGAGGATATTGTCAAACGTGCATGACTTACGATAAAACGTCTCGTATAAATTCACTATCCTCTGGAATTGTACTAAATTATATCGAAATACACAATTATTTGCAGAATTTAAAAAAATATGCAAACGCATTATTCATTGAAAAAGACTCGTTAGCTACAAACATGGTAAACTGATTGTGGTCAGTTTATAATAAATACTTAACCTTCTTAAATTTTTCAATATGTAAAAAAACTAATATAACATGAACTACACTAAATACAATTTTAAGTAAAAATGGTGATTAAAAACGGATAATTTTAAAAGTCTATATGGAAGACAAAATAGAAAGATAGATAAAATATTGAGTGATTATGTAATACTTGAAAAATGAAGAAAAGAACACAAAGGAGAAAATATGCAACACTGACCAAGACAGATGGTCGTAATACCATTATAAATACAAAGAAGGTGTAGTGATATACATGTACCAAGAACATACAAGAAACGATACATCAATAGTGCAGTGGATACATGTATGTGAGTTTATGATAAGATAAGAGTATTGAAAAGAAACAAAAAAGTTGTATATTGGAGGTAAACAATAATGCTGAACACAAAACAAAACAGGTACACATGTGTTCAAAAAGTGTGCGAAATGAACTTGTGTGTTCGACTTACGATAAATCATCTTGTTTAACCTCAGGATGTTCTGGTATGGAGCTGTTGAACAGAAATGTCGGAGATGAAATGACGTAGCCTTATAGTACATTAAACAAACTCAAATCGACTTTTTTATATATTTTTTTAATGTTATCATTACAGCATGCAGTTGCAGCAAGATGATGAAGTGAGACGATTCTGTCCAATGACATGACCATATATATATAGTTACATTTCATTTATCAATAATTCTATAGATTAACTTAAAATTTCAATTAATTACAGATGGTGCTAAAAAAATCAGATTAATTTCACTCTAATTACATCGTATGATGAAATAATAATAACCATTATGTTAATTTGTCAATTTAAAGGCAACCACAAAACGTGTAAGCTAAAAACACACTGAGTATATAAATATGTATATTGCAACAGAACAGTATGAAAAAGTGGATATAACGAAAGTATAGAACTTAAAACATATGAATATGTGTAGTTGATGTTAAACCCTTTAAGGATAGAAGAAACAAGCCTGCAACAGCGTACTGAAAGAGATATGTGCTGAACGCCACTCCCGAAATGCTATTCGTGTAAATCCGAATACAATATCCAACAAATAGTGGGATAATGCACACATTGTTTCATGTATCATTTGCCATTTGCACACAAGCAACAGCACCGCGTGAAACAAACACTTCAATATCTATCAACAGCAAGCTTCGATCACCTGAACAAGCCAAACATGTAATTTGGTCTGAAATTCACTCGATTTCCATATTCGTCCTCTCCCAAAGATAGCCACATGTCTAAGGCATTTCTTGTATGACGATTGGCTTTGCTTGTTAAGAATAAATTTAAAGGTGTATATGGACACAAAACATCTATTTTGATTGCTTGTTGTTTATCTATTTTTATTACAATCATTAGTTTGTGATCATCTTTCACACAAACAATACAAATGCAAGTGCATTAAATTTTCAGTGTTATTCTTAAACGCGTCGTAAATTTGTTTCTGTGAAATATTCAAATCATTTATTAATAAATGCTTTAGAGTCTCCCTATATACAGGTACTTATTAAAAACTATGATTATTCTATAAAAAAAATGTCTTGGATGTTGATGGATATATAGATGACTGTTTTATGTTGGTACCGTTAACAATCCGGAGGAGTACATGCCATCTTATACCCCAGCCATTATTTTGACTTAAAGTCGGCCAGTCACTGATCTTATTTTTAAATGCTGCACACTTAGTGGAGTAGCAGTAAATACAAATATTCAATTCATTGGTAAAGCACGCTACCAAGAGACAATGCACGGAGGTCGCACTCGCCGCATTTTATTTAAACCCCAATTACAAGCACAATCATTTCAATCCCAATTACAAGCACAATGCATAAATTATGATCATTCCGCTAAAATTAATTCTCACAACAAATACAGGCACATTGTATCTTCGTCTAAGCCCCATCTTATCGTCCTTTATAAATAGGTTTAACCCTTTTAAGTTCGAAAGGTGTTCGCAAGCAATTAGGGTTGTCAAACATGAATAAAATCTAAACAGGAATCGTTAGTACACATGTAAGGAAAGTAAGTCAACACATTATTAGGTATACACCTTATCGCTTTTTATTCCTATCAGGATAAGTTCTAAAATCACACAACTTTTCAAACTATTTGAAGCATCTGGGGCCTTGTTCAACCAAAGTATTGTGCATAACTTGAAATTTTTCATAGAGACATGTTTAAACCATCGTAAACATATCAAACAAAGTTTTTCAATGACTTTAAGTTGTCTTTTAAAAAATGATTCTTAAACTATCCAAATTTTAAAATGTCCACTTTCCAATCTTTTTCCGCCCTCAGCTCATGCTGATGACCTTTAATTGTTTTGCTCCACTTGACCTCAGCAGAAAGTTGTCTAAGTAACTGTGTTTCCCGGATTGAATTAAATAGCGATAAGGTGTATTGTTTCTAACATTGTTATGTATTCAACAGTGATTAAATTACTTTGGGTAATTATGAGCATCAGTGAAAAAAATGTTATTTTTTACGACATGTTAGAAACTAAACGCAATATTGGTTAAAACGCGAGACACTTACGCTCGCTCAAAGACGTCACTGCCTTCTTCGTCGTAGCTGAAATCAGGCATATGAATATCTAATGATTGTGAAAAACGAACTTTTTTACCCTCACTTGAGTTACTTCCCATACTTGATGTAGATGGCATGTTTTATAAATATTCTTCACGTTTCATGCCACCGTCAATGTGAATATGTAACATTCAAATCTCATAAATCAACAATTGACATCTCACTTACGGAACTACAAAAACAGTTTTAAGTCAGTATGAACAAAACAATGTTTGAAAACACAAATTTGGTCAAAACTGCCATAAAACAAAACCAGTCATTTCACCAGTGAGAATGTTTCTATCAATTTTACGTTTGCTTCGCGTCAAAGATTACGCCCTCTCTCTCTTACTTTTAATCTTGACATGTACATCTTACTCTAATTGTGACTTGAAAACTTTGGATTAATTAGAAATATAGCAATTTCTCACTGAACAAATAAAATTTCAAATTATTTAAGAGTAATTTCGCCATTAATATAGAACCCTTTTCAAAGAAAGTTTGATATAATCACATTTTCCCTTTATAAAAGCCCATAATGATTAAATTTATCGGAAACTATTTATCAAATTAAAACGTAAAGAACTATAAAAATATTGTTCTGGAACATCAAGCACATTAATTTGTCTTTAATATAACGATTGGCGTTTTAAATCAATGGTTCCGAACGGAGTAGAGAAACGAAAATTACCTTCGTATGCCATAAAATGTTCCGAACGGAACAGAGAAACGAAAATTACCTTTGTATGCCATAAAATAGTCTTTCACTTTTTTCAAGAGATAAAATACTCATTAAAGTCGACTGATTTATGTTTGTTTGATTTTATAAGATATTTTTAATATTCACGTATGATTTTTAATATTTGGTATATCATCATATACAGTTTAGATATTTTCATCATATGAAGAAGAAAAATCACCTACATGTATGTTCATATGAGTTTCATGAGCCTCGGAGGTGTATTCGAGGTGTAAGGTTCATCTTGAGTCGAGCGAAGAGAGAGGTTGTTAATCTCTAAACTTGAATAACAAAATGCAAACATTGAAAAAAGTAACTAAATTGTATACTGTTTACGTCTGTTTTCCTCTAAATATACACATCCTTATCAATAGAAATGACTTAACCCTGACGCAATTCCATGATTTTTTTTTCTAAAAATGCATACGCTTTGTTATAATTTTCTTTAAAACAATTCGCCTTTTCACAATCTAAAGGACTATATGGGTAATCTCATTGTTCGTACACCAAAATGAAAATAACGTTACGTCATTGGTTGAATTTCCATTGTTTAGTACGTTTTAAACCAATCACAACGTTTTGGTGTACGTGTTTGAAAATATTACCCAGAATGCATTAGATTCTGAAACGCCGCATTGGCTCACATTCCATATCTTCGTATACTAGATTAGGTTTGAAAACAAATACATAGTTTTCTTATATATAGCAGTCTTCTACTGATACCCAAATTAAAAGTAAGATTTTTTAGGTTGAAAAAAAACGTTAAAGGCTACAACAGATCAGAAAGTCAACATTTCAACAATTATTAGAAATGGATAATCTTAGACAATACATGTTCGAGTTAAGGTTGCATTTTAAACCCATCTAGTTAATGATAGCTGAGACTTCAAGTAATATACCCAGATAAAAGGTATATGATTTCCGCTTAAATAGACATTACACATTACATATAAATAATAAAAAGACGCCCTTTCCATTTCTAGTAACCACTAACACTAGCCATATACGAAAGCAATTCCTTTCAATATATTATACAAGTATTCTAGAAGTAACAAGTTCTGGGTCTTAATATACCTTGTTGTGCTTTCTTTCCTCCATCGGTTTATCATCCTCCCGTCTTTTGTGAAATAATCAAATTCATCAAAGCCAGAGTCCCCTGTACACGGAGACATATCCCGCCCCTCTCTTGAATGTAACTGCATACTTTTGACGATATTGCAGAATCTGGGTCTATAACCTTGGAAGCCCTGCATAGTAATAAATAAATGTGAATTATGACATATATATTTTCGAAAATTTTCATATAAGTTTGATTGGCAAACAAAAAGTTGTAAGAAGCTATCGTTTATCAGAAATTAGAAACTTATTTGAATTGAAGCAAAAGCAGGATTGTTGAATATATGCATGCATGTGGCATACAGTGGCAAATATTTCCTGCATATTCAGGATGAGAACAAATTAAAAATAAATTCAATACGTACATTTACAAGCTTGGTCGACAGGGATGAAGCACAAGAAATTTAGACTAATATTGAAAAGAGGGTATATAGCAAACGGCTGTGTGATAATATGAAAGTACATAAACGTAAATCCAATAACAATAACAAAAATGATTATAAGCATCACTACAAGTATTATAGTTTGGTCCGTGTATATTTGCGTCCATTCGTTTTTCGTTTTGAGATATTAAAAACAAAAAACGAAAAACGAAAGTGTTTTCATTTTTCGTTTTTGATTTCTCAAAAACGATGAAAAACAAAAGTGTTTTCGTTTTTCGTTTTTGATTTCTCAAAAACCAAATATTTTGCCCAGCACTTAAATGCTAATACACATAGTGACAGATAGATGCCAATTTATTATAGTTAACTTGAGTAGTTGGGTTGCTGCCTAACTGTATCCATATCTGTGTCATACATCTTTCATTAAGTGTATTCAAACTTGTACAAATTTGATACCGTTTTTAACTTAGTTCAAATTACGACATGGTTGGAAATTTTAAATATTTAATCATTAATCATTGGTAAGTAAGGCTAACGACATTATTTAAACTTGATCCCATTAAAATAAACATACCATGTTTTAGGTTTCTGCTGTTTTAAATAATCGAAAATCGAATAGTTTCAGAAAGTTGCATATCAGAATTGACGTATCAACTTAAAATCAAACTAATAAGTACAGATTTTCAGTTAACAGCAGATATACATTTGACAAGCGTCTTGCAGCTCAAGTCAAATACAATGACGTCAAAGAACTATCACCTGCAATAATTAAGTCGACATTTTTGCGGGAAACATTTTAGTTTCCATCCGGGCTGAACAAAAATAAAGTTCGCTTTGACTAAAAAAGTATGTGTGGTGCCCTGAGGTATGGTGTTTTGAGATTAACTCGCGACATGTTTTATCGGAGAATATCGAAATCATAATATCAGAATGTATATATACGTATTAAATCATTCGAAGTTTTTATAACAGGTATTTTAACGCAATTTATACATATATTACCGTTACACTAAATGACCAAAACAATTATATCATAAGCCAATTAAGTGGGCTATAAATGAACTCATTACAGATTTATATAATAGTATTACTTACATAATTTCTTCGTTGGAAATTGTTCTTCTCCGGTCCCTGTAAAACAAATGTACTGTTAGAAAAGATGATGGTGATGGCTTTGGAAGAGACTGGCACCAGATAGATCAACTTAAACGGCAGACACTGACACCAGATGGATCCTCTTAAACGGAAGAGACTGACACCAGATAGATCGTCTTAAACGGAAGAGACTGACACCAGATAGATCCTCTTAAACGGCAGAGACTGACACGAGATAGATCCTCTTTAACGGCAGAGACTGACACCAGATATATCCTCATTAACGGCAGAGACTGACACCAGATAGATCCTCTTTAACGGCAGAGACTGACACCAGATAGATCTTCTTTAACGGCAGAGACTGACACCAGACAGATCCTCTTTAACGGCAGAGACTGACACCAGATAGATCCTCTTTAACGGCAGAGACTGACACCAGACAGATCCCCTTTAACGGCAGAGACTGACACCAGACAGATCCCCTTTAACGGCAGAACTGACACCAGATAGATCATCTTTAACGGCGGAGACTGACACCAGATAGATCCTCTTTAACGGCAGAGACTGACACCAGATAGATCATCTTTAACGGCAGAGACTGACACCAGATAGATCCTCTTTAACGGCAGAGTATAAAATATTACATTTTAGGATATATTTTTTTATTCTAAAGATAGTATATTCATAAAATAGGGTGTTTTGGGTACTAGTATTAGTCAACGAGATTGCAATAAAACAAACAATAAAATCAAACGAGAGATCTATAGTTAAACTGATCTCTTTACTAAAATCTTTATGTCAAACTATTCAACACCAAATTTCCCACCAATATAAAAGTAAAGAGATGTGGTATGATTGCCAATGAGACAACTATTCACCAAAGTTCAAATGAAGTGGATGTAAGCAATTATATGCAACCGTACGGCCTCCAACAATTAGATAAACCAATACTGTATAGTCGGCTATAAAAGGCCCCGACACGAGAAATATACAACAATTCAATCGAGAAAACTAACGGCCTAATATATCACAAAACAATTAAAGAAAAACAAATATGACAGAAATGAACCATCGATAGCCACTGAACTACAGGCTCCTGACTTAGGACAGGCACATAAAGAATGGCGGGGTTAAACATTTTCGTGAGCGCTAAAGCCCCCCCCCCCCCTAAACTTGGGACAGCGATGTAACAGCACAACATAAGTACAAACTATAAAAATCAGTTGAAAAAGGCTTAACTCATCGCATCGATACAAAGCAGAAAAACATTAAACAAAAACACAGACCGGACATGGCAGGGTATTTATCAATCCCTCATCCCTAACAACAACAACAAAAAAAGAAGTACAGATCTGAGAGTACTCGCAGTTACTGACAGCTAGATAAAAGCCAATAACAACTAATAAAAAAGTCATGTACAATCTAAGACTATAATATCAATCAAGTTCACAGTCTTGTCGTTTAATGTACTTCCAACATATACATACTAAGGAAATCAGTTTTGATTTAAAACCTTAGCAAATAGTTTTGTTGCCAAGGAGTTGTATGCTTTTACTTGACTTTTTATTTTCAATTTCCCCATTTGTATCTTCTCTCTCTCTCTCTTTCAATTTACATACTGGGAATTTATACCGAAGAAGGATATTTGTTATCCGCAATATTTATTGAACTTTGTTTTTATTTGTTAGGTTGTTCCTGATGGTGTTGCACGCCTTTTAAACGTATATAATTTCATTCTGAGAAAATTTTATATACATGTATATATATATATATATATATATATTAATATAAAGTATTAGCAGAATGAAATTTTCTTACACATGATATTTTTTAAAAAGTCTATGAAACATGGTTCAAGTTGAAAAATATATAAAATATAGATTTCAATCTTATTATATGTATACTTTAATAAAATATCACATCGTATTGATTGTGTATCTACATTTTCACTAATATAAGTATTGCAATATGTAAGTAATACACGCAGGTAAATGTCACGATCTTTAATTCATATTAATTCAAACGTACCCTACTTGTACTGGTAATAAAAATTAAATGTTTCCCATATGTTTAATCTGCTATAATAACAATACCCATAACTTTTCAATTCGTTGTAATTAAATCTTGATCTTCATAGAATAATAGGTATAAATAGTGGAATAAACATTGTATAATGATGCCGAATTTTGTATAATTAATAGACAATAAATTGTTATGACGGAAATGTTTGTGACGATCCCCAGCAATTCAATATCTAGCCAAGTATTATAATTATGAACGATAGACTTGATCGGTTTGCGTAACACCCTCGTGTTGCAACCAATCCTTTGAAAAAATATATAACAAGTATTTCAGCTGGAAATCTGGTAGTAAACGTATATATCCTTACAAGTTGTTTCGTATTTACTGTCACAGAAAAAGATCATATATATATATTTCATTATAAATAAATGAAAAAAAAACTCATAAAGGAAGGCAAATCTACCATGGAAACATACAAAAACAAATAGAATATAGAATGGAAACGGGAAATGTGTCAAAGTGACAACGACCCGACAAAGAGCAGAATACAGCCCAAGGCTACCAATGAGTCTTCAACTCTATGTCGAAAGCATTATGTCACTCAGTGAAGCTAAGAAACAAGATAAAATTGCAACCTCCTCTTCATGTACATGAATCCCAAAATATACGGGGTAGGAACTACACAAAAAAGGGAGCATAGAAAATTGTACCCTTCATTATTTCTGCGAAAAATTAATAGAAACTATTCTTATACAATGTATAAGTTATATTGTTCAATGCTCCAATCTTTACAATGTATAAGTTATATTGTTCAATGCTCCAATCTTTACAATGTACAAGTTATATTGTTAAAAATGCTCCAATCTTTACAATGACTACATATATATTGGTAAAATTTTTTATAAAGACAGTTAATAGTTTCATTTATGAGAACTGTACCCCAGTAAGGCTCAGTTCAATTGATCATGTTGTTATGTGTAGCACGTTGGTCCGACAAATTGGTTTGTTTAAGCTACGAAAGTGGTAACGCCCTACTAAATAATTTTAAAAAAGCACAATTTTAGGATAAGAACTTTTCGAAAGTTACATTATTCAAGAATATCATAACCTTGGATTCCATCAATGAAATTGTTTCAGTGGTGGGTTCATGGGGGTGGAGGGCGTACCCCTTTGTTTAAGAAAATATATCATTTTCAGTACAAAATTGTTTCGGCTCGCTACACCCGGCCGTATTTTTTTCGGTTTCATGGGATTACGTACCATTTCAAAAATTCTGCTTCCGCCCTTGTATTTTACCCTGATTTAAAACTATTTTACGTTTTATCAACATACAAAATAAAACTGCATGCACTGTTGGGAATTTTGAATTTGTTCATAGTTTTAAATATCTCTATGTCTTCTTCAAATAGACATAAATACGTATTTATCACAAATAGTATCTATATTAGAATATTTTAAATATTCCGTGTGGGGTAAGCATTGTTTAGACCACAAACAGTCCATTAAGTTGGCAATGTGCGTTAATCTATTTCTGTTTGACATGAAACGAACAATAGAACGAGATTACATAATGTTAATATTCAGCTGTCAATTAGTTTTTATACGTATACCATATATAATAGCCCTGAACTTCAATGCACGTATTGTATGTTCGACAGCAAGTTTATTACAGTTTGAACATTGCTATAGTATCTATAGTTAATATCTAATGCACTTCCGAAGTCTTATCAGACATGTGATAAACTTGTATTGTTACATATCAGTAAAAGTCATATTTAATTGACTTGCGGTAAACATTAGGTCTGTTATACACCCCGTTTATTGAAACCCCCTACTCTTCTATGAATGTATTATTCATGTTTAATATATTTCACTCAGTAATGAATAGATAAGATAAAATGTTCTGTATAGTCAAAGTAAACAATTAGTCTTATTTAGTGTGTATGGGTCTCTAAAAACATGGCAACATACCACAAAGAAATACAATGTAGTATTTGTGAGAGAGAAAAACATAATTAAAAGGTAATTGAGGCTTTCTCCGGTTATTCTTTTTTTATCATTCAGTCAAACAAAATATCGTCCAGACAACAAACTTTACTTTAAAATGAACTTAAAAATCCGTGGAAAATTCAAATTTTCAATAACTGTCATATATCGGCACTATCTATTAGGCCATTTCAATGATGAAAGTTAAAGCTTAAAAATGAAAAAGAAAAGGGAAGAGGGAAAAACTCGAATAAGATACAAATGGGCAAACTAAAAATAAAGAACAAACATTCAGTGTAAACTTAAACACACCAAAATCCACCAAATGCAAGTTGAGAGCATACAACTAAATTGTCATTTTGGACATTTTAGAATTGTATTTCATATGTTAGATTTAACCTACCATTGAAGGTGCCGTTCTTGGTCGATGGTAGTTTATATATCTTTTCGGTTGTTTCATTGTATCTATTTGTTCTTCCGTTGGCGTTGATGTCCGAGAGTAATTGGACATCGCCGATACAGGCCGCGAATGTAAAGAACATGGTTCCAAGTCACATGCAGTCTGAGGTCGGTCGTGCAACAGAATATCGTGCATATGCGTGTAGTCATGGCATCGAGAATGTCTATCAAAATAACGATAGTCTGGGGCAGGACTGGCTGGGTGCAAGTTTATGTTATGTCGTCGTGCACAGTCTTCGTATAATTTATTGACAAGTGTAAACCCGCTCCTCATCTGTGCAGCGACTCTGTGACGTTCTACAACAGACCCAGCACTACGAATTCGAGGTTGGTTTGGTGGTCTCGGTGATTCCGTAGACAGACGAGATGTGTTACTCTTACTGCTCCACGGTCTTTCTGTCCTTCTTCCTCCATAACTTGGGGGAGCTGTACCAGGCCTTTGATTTCTGGCTCTACTCACGTGCTTTTGTAGCGGACTTGGTGGTTTTATCCGGAGTTCAGCATAGGTATCTGTTTTCTCAGACGAACGAAGAACAAACGAATCATCCTGCGGCAGAACTTCTGTACTT